GTGAGCCACCACGCCCGGCCTTTATTTATTTATTTTTTTTTAGAGGACAGGGGTTTCTTCTGTGCTGGGGCAAAGGCAGTGGACGTCGGCAGGTCATAGTGGGCAAAGGGCTCAGTCCAGCATGGCGTCCAGCTGGTCAGCCAGGGCGTCGAACATGGTGCTGATGTCATCCAGAATGTGCTTGGTGGAGGCGCTGGGGGCACTGCAGCAAGGGGAAGGACACAGTCAGGTCAGCCAGTGGCCTGCACCCCAATGGCCCTGGGGCAGGGGGCTGTCATAACTCCTGGAGGCTCAGGGAGGCAAGGGACAGCCCAGGCTCGTATGCCTCTTAAATGGCAGCCACTAGGATTCCCTGAAGGTCAGATCTGGGTGACTCCAACACCTGGCCTCTTATCCCATTAGTGCCTGCAATGTCACCCTCCAACATCCCCAGGAGCTCCAGGCAGAGGGCACAGGGACCACTATTTCTCCGAAGCCTTCTCTCCCTCCCCTGCCAGCTCCCCTCACCCCTCTTGCTCCTCTGTGCCAATGCTCTTCTCCGCAGCTCTCAGTGCAGCTGCCAGGGACGAGCTGGTCTGCTCCAGTCTCTGCTGGGCCTGGCCTGGGCCCACAGTCCCAGTGCTCTCAGGCCGTGGAGGAGGCACTGGACGGGGGCCGAGCCGGGGCGCTAGCTTTGGGCCAGAAAATGCCAGCTGGGTGCAGGCCACCGATACAGGCTTGGGGGCTGTTCCTGCAGAGACAAAAAGGTTGGCCTGGGACTTGGCTGGGCCGGACGTAACCCTGCCAGCAGTGCTTCTCCACAGGCCTCGTCTCTTACCTGCTCCAGGCACCTTGAGGAGGGCAGCAGGGGCGGCTGGGGGTTCTGTCTCCCCACTCCGCTGACTAGCTGCTGAGCTCTCCAGACCCGGCCCTGGGCAGGGCAGCACCAAGGGCTGTGTGGCGGGGCTGGGAGCAAGGGGGGCTGGGGCTCCTTGGGGTGGAAGGCTGCTGGGCTCAGGCTGAGGAGGGCAGGGGGGCAGCAGGGCCAGGCGTGGCGCTGGCCACTCCGAAGGCCAGCAGGGCGGTCTGCAGCGGCTCTCTCTCCCGGCACTT